ATCCTCTTTTGGCTATGACTTCCTTCTTCTCCAAACCCTTCTCTCCTCCTCCCTTGCTTTCTCTCAGGCTATGGCAAACTCCCCCAGCTATGGCTATGGAGTCCTTCCCTCTAGGAGGGCTAATGGGGCTCCTCTAGCCTCTCTTCCTCTCCTACACCCAGGAGGGATATGGCGGATCACCTTCCGAGTGTCTCTCCTACCATTACTATCCTCTAGAGTCCTCTCCACTACCTCCTAGTCTCCTTTAAACTTCCCACTAGCATGGGCTCCTCCCCTCTCACTCCAAGTGCAAAGGTGCTCCTGTGAGCTCACTTGGGCAGCATGGGCACTCCTGATGCAAATGTGAGAGTGGCGGACTGCATCCTCAGCTTATGTAGGCTGAAACCAGCACTCCGGCCAGCCCATGAGCCTCCCCATGAGCCTTGAGGTGAACCGAGGTACCCCCAAGGCAAAATTCCCCCACTAGGCCCTCCTGGAGGTACCTGGGCCTCTTTTTGGCCAAGTGCATGCAGTCGAAGTGGTTGGTACCAACTTGGACTGCCTCTTGGCCTACCCCGGCCTCTTTTTCATTGCTCAAATGCTGCCCCCTAGGGTCCTAATGCCCAAGGGGTAGCAATACTTGAAAGAAAACGGCCTTGTGGGCCTTTTTCTCGATTTTTTCAAGTTTCGGCCTCTTTTGAGTAGGCCGGAGCATTTTTCCATATGGCGGCACATTTTCAGCCTTGGATCTGGACGAGATCCAAGACTTGTAATAATCCGAGCTACCCCCTAGTAGCCCTTGCTTTAATTTTGAGCCCCTAAGTCCAGTTTTTCAATTTTTGGTGCATCTGGCTCTCTTTTTGGGCCAAATGCGTTGTTTTGTCCTTTTCCCTCTTTTGTTTCTTTCCATTTTGGGCTGCCACCTCATTCCGGAGCTAGCCGTTTTGAGCTGGCCCACAAAAAACGGCTAGTTCCTCTCCACCATGAGATCTGATCTCAGATCCATGGTCAAAAAAAAAAACGTTCACTTCCTTTTTGCATTTTCTCTCATTTTCAGCTTTTTAATTTAGATTTTATTGAAATATGGCCCTAAGGGCCATATCTCTGCTATCCGGATTGCCCTCCCTTATTCTAGGAGGGATGAGGTCACTGTTGGGACCTGCCAGTCCCTACTGTGCATATCCCAATAGGCCGGCACACTCTCCTCCACTCCTTTCTCCCCTTTTGTCTCATTCTCCCTCTTTTTTCTCTCATTTTTCTTTCCGTTCTTTTTTATTTCTGTTGTGACAAGTGTCAAACTGTTGTGCACCCTCTTTCTAGGCCCTAGGGCCTCATTCAAGGCCAGGTTCATGGCTGTTACGTGGCCGTTATATCTCGGATTCCAATAATGGCACCCCCATGCTCCTAGGGGGCTCCATTTTGCTTCGGTTTGCCCAATTTTGAGCCCCTTCTGCTCCGATTTTCTAAGGGCAGCCTTTTTCTCATGTTGAGCCTCTCAAGGCTCTATTTTCTTATGCCTTGCTAGCCCGAGATATCCCGGACTGCTGGGCAACCTTCCCAACACCCTTATTTCATTTTTCTTTCTCTCATGGCTCTCCCACTAGTGCTTGCACTAGTGGTGCTACTATTTTCCACCGTCTAGATCCTCGATCTCGACGGTGCCGCTTGCTTGCACAATTATTCCTTGTGTTTGCTCATTGTTCCCTTGGGACATCCCAAGTCCCCGCCATTTTCCTACACGCTAGCTCCATTTCTTTGTCCCGCCGGCGGTCCCGCCGACGCATGTCCCGTTTTTCGATTTTTATTATTTGGACCCATTTGGTCCCCGGCAACATCCCGGACGGCGTTCCGTTTTTATTTCTTTGGGGCCCATTGTCCTTGGTGGTCCCATCATTTCTATATGTGTGCCAATTTTTCTAGACTGCGAGATCTCATCTCACGGTTGCCGTTTACCGTATTTACTTGCCCCTTGCCGAAATTGCTCCTTTCTCGCCTTTCCGGGTTTGCCGTAGCCCATTTTCCCTTGGCCTTGGCATCCTCATGCAGTCCGTAATTCTTCGAACTGCAGTCATGGCTATTTTCCATACCCACAGCCCCACAAGTGGCCCCATGTTAAAAGAAAAATGAAGCGTTAAATTTCCTAGTGCATCCGGGCTCAATATTGGCTCCGGATGCACCTAGAACATGTATTTTCTCTCCCCCATGCAGTCCGTTGCAACTCGGATTGCAATGGGGGTTAATTTCTTATCCTCAATGCCCCACAACTAGCCCCTACTCAAAAGAAAAAAAAACGGTCAATTGGGGGTTAATTCCTTATCCTCAATGCCCCTCAACTAGCCCCTACTCAAAAGAAAAAGAAACGGTCAATTCCCAAGTGCATCCGGCCTTGATTTTGGCTCCGGATGCACCTAAAACACGTGTTTCTCCTCATGCATGTATTCCGTTTTATTCCGGTTGCAAGAGGCCTTGATTTTCTTTGATTTTCTCTGCAAAAATCAAAGAAAATCCAAGTCCTTTGTAACNTTTTATTCCGGTTGCAAGAGGCCTTGATTTTCTTTGATTTTCTCTGCAAAAATCAAAGAAAATCCAAGTCCTTTGTAACCGCCATATTCCAGAATGAATCTGGTCATGGATAAATCTCCCCAAGTGGCCGTTTTTTACCGTTAAGTTTTTTTTCTCTTTTTTTTTTTTTCTCCTCTTTTCTTGGACAGTAGGGACCTGCCAGTCTCTACCTATAGCAGTCCCTACTGACAGCCAACTCACTCACTCCCTCTCACTTTTTTTGTCTTATTCTCCCACATTTTCTTTTCTTTTCTCTTTTTTTTCTAGCATGCCAAGTGTCAAGTGGTCGTTAAGGCCCTTTTCTAGCCTCTTCCTCTTAGTTTTGGCCCTCCCTATGCCCAAGGTGTAGTCCATTATTTCTCGGACTGCAATAATGGCCTTCCCATGCCCATGGGAACCTCCTTTTACTCCTACATTTCTCCCACAATGGTCCCTCATACTCCGATTTTCTCCCGGAGGCCTATTTTTCACATGGGGTCTCATTTGACTCTATTTTCTTGAGGGAGGCTGATCCGAAATTTTTCGGATTCCTCCCATGCCTCCCGCTTCAATTTTCTTTACTTTTCCTTTTCCTTTTCGCCTCCCCGTTTGTCACCACTAGTACTTGCACTAGTGGTGCTTATATTCTTGGTCGTCAAGATGTCGATCTTGACGATGTACCTTGCATTTACTATTTTTTCCTCATGCGGTGCCGTCGTTTCCTCTTGGGACTTTCACATGTCCCCGCCACTTATCCCGTCGGTGGTCCCCGACATTTAGTCCCGTCGGTGGTCCCCGACTCTTAGTCCCGCCGGTGGTCCCCGACACTTAGTCCCGTTGTCGGTGGTCCCCGACACATTTCGCCCTGGACGCCATTATTTTTACTTAGTCCCACGTAGCTCCGGGTGCCTTTCCCCGAGGTGTCCCATGCCCCTTGGGCGTCTTGTCGCCCCATAGCAACCCCTCTTCTTAGTCTTTCCTCGCGCCTTGTACGTGCCGATCTCTTTGGTAGTGGGCCTCCACTCCGAGGCTCCCATAGGTGGCCCCCACGTTGACCCCTCATTTTCTGGCTTTCCGCGGCTTCTGGCGCCAATCCCTCCCCTTCCTCATTCCCTTATTGCTGTCGCGCTGCAATTGCTAGTTCAAAGGGTCCTTTGGCCTTAGTCTTATTGCATTCCGATGGCCCTCCCGGCCTCCTGCTATGTTCTATGTGCCCCTGTTCTTGCGCTCGCTTGCTTGCCGCCGCTAGTTTTTTCCTCCTGTGGTTCTCTCCTCAGGGCATCACTCTCTTCTGCGGCCTTATCCTTTGTCTTTTCTCTCTCCTGCTTCCTCATTCCAGATTTCTCTGTTGTGCACAAATTGTCCGTATTCAATCTCTCCAGTGATGGGAAGTTATTCGGGACCCACCAGTCCCAACACCGGTAGCTTGTGCAGTCCATCTTTTCCCCCTGCTGTACCCTGTAACATTCGGTGTGTGTGTGTGTGTGAGTGCTGCAGTCCACGGTAACTTGTGCAGTCTATCTTTTCCCTCTGCTGTACCCAGTAACATTCGGAGTGTGTAAGTGTGAGTGCCGCAGTCCATCCTTACCCCTGCTGTACCCAATAACATTCGGTGTGTGTGTGTGTGAGTGATGCAGTCCCCGGTAATTTGCGCAGTCCGTCCTTACCCCCTGCTGTACCCAGTAACATTCGGTGTATGTGTGTGTGAGTGCTGCAGTCCCCGGTACCTTGTGCAGTCCATCTTTACCCTCTGTTGTACCGAGTAACATTCGGTGTATATATGTGTGAGTGCAGCTGTCCCCGATAACTTGTGCAGTCCATCTTTACCCCTGCTGTACCCAGTAACATTCGGTGTGTGTGTGTGTGTGCTGCAGTCCCCGGTAGCTTGTGCAATCCATGTTTTCCCCCTGTTGTACCCAATAACATTCGGTGTGTGTAAGTGTAAGTGTTGCAGTCCCCGGTAACTTGTGCAGTCTGTCTTTACCCCTGGCTATAACCGGTGACATTCGGAGTATGTGCGTGGGTGTGTGTGTGTGGGCTGTTGTCCGGTCCCTTCTCCATTTTTGCTGTGACCAGTGACTTCCGAAAGTGATATGGGGCAGCCGGGCACCCGAAGTAGAAAACGGAGGTACGGGGCTTGGAGCTAGGACCCGTCCAACGGGCCTTCTTTCACGTCCACCCCCTCATAGCCGGACCACCCCAACCCTTCATCCTCCTCCATCACTCACACCCGTCCACCATAGCCGGACCACCCCAACCCTTCTCCGTCCTCCATCACTCGCACCCGTCCACCATAGCTAACCACCTCCAACCCTTCTTCCTCCTCCATCACCCACACTCGTCCACCATAGCCGACCGGCTTCAACCCCTTCTTCTTCCACCNCCTCCAACCCTTCTTCCTCCTCCATCACCCACACTCGTCCACCATAGCCGACCGGCTTCAACCCCTTCTTCTTCCACCATCACCCACACCCGTCCACCATAGCCGGACCAACCCAACCCTTTTCCCTCCTCCATCACTCACACCCGTCCACCATAGCCGGACCACCCCAACCCTTCTCCCTCCTCCATCACTCACACCCGTCCACCATAACCGAACCACACCAACCCTTCTCCCTCCTCCATCACTCGCACCCGTCCACCATAGCTAACCACCTCCAACCCTCCTTCTTCCTCCATCACCCACACTCGTCCACCATAGCCCACCGGCTCCAACCCTTCTTCCACCATCACCCACACCCGTCCACCATAGCCAACCACCTCCAACCCTTCTTCCTCCTCCATCACCCACACCCGTCCACCATAGCCAACCACCTCCAACCCTTCATCCTCCTCCATCACCCACACCCGTCTGCCATAGCCGACCACCTCCAACCCTCCTTCCTCCTCCATCACCCGCACCCGTCCACCATAGCCAACCACCTCCAACCCTTCATCCTCCTCCATCACCCACGCCCGTCCACCATAACCGACCACCTCCAACCCTTCATCCTCCTCCATCACCCACGCCCGTCCACCATAGCCGACCACCTCCAAACCTCCTTCCTCCTCTATCACCCACATCCGTCCACCATAGCCAACCACCTCCAACCCTTTTTCCTCCTCCATCACCCACACCCGTCCACCATAGC